AAGAGGGAGCAAAAATATTAATTTTGTTTGAATTGTTCTAAAATTATGTTCATGATTCCAAGGTCTCATGTTCATATAGAAAATGCTTTGTGTGCTTTAAATGCATGAAATTATAACGTATTCATATCATGATTCATAAATAACAAATTAGGAAAGTAAAGTGACTTCACTTTCCAAAGATGGCATGTTGCTATAGGAAGAGTGTTCCTTGATCATGCATCATTCTTATGTGTTTATGTTCATACACTCATACTTAGCACAAGTGTGTACTAACCCATATACAATTATCATTTTTATAGGTGCAGGTCCTTGAAGAAGACTGAAGCTTTTTGAAGTTATTTGGACTAGTATCGCCACACTTTGGTAGGTCTTCTTAAGTTCGAGGATTCTTACACTTTATTTCTAGACTTAGTAGATTAGACATAGCTAGTCGTTTTTGTCCCTAGCATTTTCTTTCAAACATTTTTCAAGATTTTGTATTAAGGCAGTGTGGCAAACTATTATGATATTATGAATTATTTATTTCATTTCTTCAATATATTAATAGATGGTTATTTAATTTGAGCATGTTAGTATATCACTCTTATGCAGAATTATATGAATTCTAAGTATAGTTCAATAAGTTTAAAAAGCTCTAAATTTTCAACAAATTTAATTTTATGATTGTGATGAAAGCTAAGAAGAGTCTTGTATGCGACCTCTAAGAGGTTAATGGCATCGGTCTCACCTGGAGTCTAGGATCCGGGTGTTAAAACTTAGTAGTAAAGCATGAGGTTAAATTACCTAGGACTGAAGGCTAAAAACAACCACAATGCGTAGTTTCTAGCTTATGGTTTTGAAGTTCACCACAACCATGACTTAGAGACTTAGCAATGTTAGGAATATTCCTTTCTTCTACTCTTATCGTGTTGTGTAGAGCTTTGACATTTTTGTGTCATTCTAGCATTTAACTTCCTTCTTCTGTGTGCGTGTAGAAAAATGAACACAAGAAGATATGCAGGCAAGAGATTTGGAGAAGTAGCTACTAGGGGAAACCAAGCTCCCCCACAATCCCATGTCGCTGGAGTGCAAGTTCTTGTCAACTTTGTTGCGTTGACTGATGGAGAAGTGAGAAAAGCACTGCTTCAGATGAAACAAGCCATCACTGCTCAGGAATAGGCTATCACAGCCCAGGCCACTAGAGAGGGTGCTCCCAGGGAGAACCCACATGCTAGCACCATGGCTGCAGATAGACATTTCACCAGGATGAGTTCAGTCTACTTCGGTTCCAGAACCAATGAGGATCCCCACGAGTTTGTGAACGAGGTCCATAAAATTCTATGTTCTATGGGTCTTAATGAAGACGACAAGGCTAAGTTGGCTGCTTACCAGTTCAAGATGTGGCTCCGGTATTGTACAAGATGTAGGTAGATGGCTGAGCAGCAGCAGAAGTCCCCATCACTTGGGACATTCTCAAGATTGCTTTCCAGGAGAGTTCTTTCCAGCATAGAGAGGCTATGGTTGAGTAGTTTATCAACCTACGTTAAGGAGGTATGTCAATCAAGGAATACTCCTTGAAGTTTGTTATGCTTCCCAAATATGCTTCTTCCCTGTTGTCCAATAGCAGGGATGAGATGAGCAGGTTTGTGAATGGTGTATCGGAGGATCGGGAGGAGGAATATCATTCAGCCATGTTGCATGATAACATGGACCTTGGTAGATTGATTGTACATGAATAGCAGGTGGAGGCGAGTCGTCGGAGGAAGAGAATCCGAGAAGGTAAGAAGCCTAGGCCCTCGGATCAGGCTAATTAAAGAACTAGTAGGAGTTTGTTTGGAGTCCAAGACATGCCCAAGTTCAACAAGGGGCACCAGCACTTAGGTAATACTACTCCTTCCAGGAATACTAATGCCAAAGGGAAAAAGTCTAGCCCCATGAAAGGAAATGATAGAAGTTCCCAGCGTGACAGAAAGTCGTGTGGTAAATGTGGTCGTTTGCATGTATGTGAGTACATGGTAGCTACTAATGCCTGCTATGGATGCGACAAGAGTGGGCAGATAATCAGGGACTGTCCACATGGGAAGAATCAGGCCAAGGAAGATACTCAGCCTCGGCCTAATTCTACTGCTGCAGCTGAGCCTTCAAAGAGGAACATGTTCTAGTCTTTGAAGGGTATAGAGGAGTAGGAGAATTCAGCTAATGTGTCACTGGTAACTTTCTTGTCTTTTCTCTTCCTGTGTATGCATTGTTAGATCGAGGATTCACCTTGTCATTGGTTACTCCATTAATAGCTAGTAAATTTGACTTGCTTCCTGAGATCTTGCATTAACCTTTTCTAGTTAGAGATCTCCCAATAACATTTCTTGATAGAGTCACTTATGCTGACCTAAACCATGCTTGACTTTGATATTATTTTGGGTATGAATTGGCTCCATAAGTGTTATGCTACCATAGACTGTCAAAAAAGGGTAGTAAGGTTTTAGTTTCCTAATGAGTCAGAGCTGGAGTGGGAAGGGCGTAGTTCAAAACGAACAGGCCAAATAGTTTCCCATCTTAAATCCAATAAGATGTTATATAAGGGGTATCTATATCACTTAGTCAGATTCAATGACTTAGAACATTAATTTCCTTCTATAGACTCTGTGTCCATATGAATGAGTTTCAAGATGTCTTGTCAAAGGATATACCAGAAATCCCTCCTGAACGCAAAATTGACATTGGTGTTGACTTAGATCCCAACACCACCATTCCTCCCTATAGAATGGCTCCAACTTAACTCAAAGATTTAATGTTGCAGTTAAAGATCTACTTGATAAGGGTTTCATCCAGCCGAGCATATCCCCTTGGGGTGTTCTATTGTTGTTCGTTAAGAAAAAAAATGGAACCCCTAGGATGTGTATCGATTATCGGCAACTTAACAAAGTCACAATAAAGAACAAATTCCCCCTTCTCATGATTGATTATCCATTGATTCAGCTCCAATGTTCAAGTTTCTTTTCTAAAATAGACCTTCAATAAGGGTATAACCAGCTTAGAGTGAGACAAGAGGACATTCCTAAGATTGCCTTCTATACTTAGTATGGTCATTAAAAGTTCCTTGTCATCTCATTTGGTCTCACTAACGCACCAGCTGCATTTATGGACCTTATGAATAGGGTCCTCCGTGAATACCTAGATTATTTTGTCATAGTATTCATAGATGACATACTCATATACTCTAAGACCAGAGAAGAGCATGAACAACATTTGAGAATGACATTGCAAGTACTCAGGGAACATCAATTGTATGAAAAATTCAGCGAATGTGAGTTTTGGCTGATATTAGTGACCTTCCTTGGTCATGTTGTGTCCGACTAGGGTGAGAGGTTGATCTGGAAAACATTGAGGCTGTAATGATTTTGCCGAGACATCTCACTCCTTGAGACATCAAGAGTTTGTTGGGTTTGGCTAAATATTATTGCAGGTTTGTTAAGGGATTTTCCACTATTGTTGCTCCATTAATAGCTTTAACAAAGAAGAAATCAAAGTTTGAGTGGTCTAAAACTTGTGAAAAGAGCTCAAAGACCGACTTACTTCATCCCCAGTTCTCACATTACCGAGAAGTGGATAGGGTATGTGGTATACTATGATTCTTCCTGAGTAGGTTTGTGATCTATTCTTATGAAGGATGGCAAGGTGATTCCATATGAATCAAGAAAGTTGAAAATCCACGAGAAGAATAACCATACACATGATCTTGAGTAAACTATTCCGGTATTAGTGTTAAAACTTTGGAGACATTACTTATATGGGGTACATGTTGATGTATTACTAACCATAAAAGTCTTCAGTATGTTTTTACACAGAGAGAATTGAATCTTCATCAGAGAAGAAAGCTAGAGCTGCATATTATTATGACTTGAGTGTCCACTATCACCCAGGTAAGGCCAATGTAGTGGCCGATGCTTTGATCAAATTGAGCATGGGCAGTTTGTCTCATTTTGATGATGAGAAGAAGGAGATGGTTAAACCGGTACACCAATTAGCTAGGTTAGGTGTACGGCTAGTAGATACACCGAGTGAGGGTGCTTCAGTTCATTCCACTTTTAAATCCTCATTTGTTACAGATGTTAAAGATAAGTAGCATCTCGACCCAGTACTCATGGAGTTTAAAGACTCAGTGTTGAGTTAGTTGAATGAATCATTTTTCCTAGGGGAAGATAGTGTACTTAGATACCACGTAAGAATTTGTGTGCCCAATATTCATAATCTGAGAAATAATATTATTGCACAGGCTCATTGCTCCAGGTATTCCATTCATCCAGATTCCACCAAAATGTATCATGATATCAAGGAGATCTATTGGTATGAAGGTATGAAGTGAGATATTTCACAGTTTGTGGAGGAGTGTCCCAATTGCAAACAGGTTAAGGCCGAACATCTTAAGCCTGGAGGTCTTACCTAGTCTATTAATATCCCAACAAATAAGTGGGAGGCTATTAATATGGACTTTGTGGTTGGTCTGCCTATGACCAGGAAATTGGATGATTCCATTTGGGTCATTGTTGACATGATGAGTAAAAATTCTAACTTCATTCCTATGAAGTTTACTATAGAGCCAAAAATTATGCCAAGTAGTATATTGATGAGATAGTGAGATGGCATGAGATCCCTTTATCTATCATTTTTGATAGGGGAGCCCAGTTCACTTCTCACTTTTGGAGATTTTTCCAAAAGATCTTGGGTACACAGGTGAAGCTCAGTACTGTTGTTCATCCACAGACAGATGGACAAGAAGAGCGTACCATTCAGACCCTTGAAGACATGCTGAGAGCATGTGCCACTGACTTCAAGGGGAGTCAGGATGATCACTTTCCACTGATTGAGTTCTCTTATAATAATAGCTACCAGTCCAGTATGGGATGGAAACTTTTGAAGAATTGTATGGCATGAGATTTAGGTCCCCAGTTGGGTGGTTTGAGGTATGAGATTCTTCCATCCTTGGCCCTGACATCATACATAAGGTAGTGGAAAAAGTGAGAATGATCAGGGATAGATTGGCTATTGCTTACAGTCGTCAAAAATCCTATGTTGATAATAGGAAGAGGGCTCTTGAATTCGAAGTAGGTAATCAAGTCTACCTGAAGATATCACCCATAAAATGGGGTTATGAGGTTTGGTAAGAAAGGGAAGTTGAGTCTTAGGTATATACATCCTTATGAGATCTTACAGAAAGTAGGGAATGTTGCCTATGACTTGAAGTTACCAAATGACATGGCTTGTGTTCATCCAGTGTTTTATGTTCCGATTCTTAAGAAGTTTCCAGGTGATACAACATCCATCCTGCCTGTTGAGGGGTTAGGAGTCGACGAGAACATTTATTATGACGAGGTTCCAGTTGAAATTTTAGATCGCCAAGTGAAGTGGATGAAGAACAAGAAGGTGGCGACCGTAAAGGTGTTATGGACGAACCACCTTGATGAGGGAGCAACATAGGAGGCCGAGGCCGACATGAGATCTTGTTAGCCTCACTTGTTCAGTTCTTGAGGTTAGATATACTCTTTCGAAGTCTGATTTTTTATTATGAAACTCTAAATTTTAGCGCATTAGTCGGTTTTTGTGTTTTAAGTCCATAATTGTGTTTTATACTTGCACTATATGAATTAATATGAGTTCATGCTTGCATTAATGTTTTTGTTTTTGTATAGATTTGACATGATTTTTGTATTTCATGAGTTGTGATGTGCATTGAGTTTAAGTACGATTGGGAAGGAAGTTTCGCAATCTCACATATGAAGCTTCAGATAACTTTGAGTGATGTGCATCATCAAGAGTAAGTTGTCAATCACATATTCACCAAGAGTAAAGTTTCAAGTACGTGATGTGTTTTTCGAAAATACCCTCTTTGTTTCAAAATAATATGTAGTGCCATTCGGGGACGAATGTTCCTAAGGGGGGCATAATGTAACATTCAAGAAAATGGACTTGTCTAGTGAAGAGCCTATTATGTTTTAAGAATATGTTTTGGGGTACATAGGAATCCCAATGCCTAATATTGAGTAATATAGGGCATGTTAGAGAATACTGGCTTAAGGGTGTTAGCCAATTTCCATGTATTAAGATATACTTTGATGTTCAATGCTCCAATCCAAGCTTGTTTAGGAATTGTACCTCCAATGAAGACCCTAAGCTAATAAAATTTTCATTTCTTAGATCCCACACATTAGGTACGAGGCATCCAAGTGTCAATCCTAGGTACCAAAGCACATGATCATTTGAAATGATTATGTAGATTAAGCAGTGACCAAGGATATAGAGAGGGTCCTTGGACAAGATATGTGCAGCAACAAATGTTCAAGTACATGTGCAAGTGCAGCAACACATGTGGAAGAAACCAAGCAACTAAGCGCCAACCGAATAAGGTTAGGGAAGACAGGGGGGCAAGCGCGCGCATGGGTAAAGACATGTGGCGCCTAGCTTTATAACCAACTCTAGGCTATAACTAACTAACTAACCTAGGATTAACTAAAATAAACTAACTAGTGTACCCAAAATCCTAAAGTATAATTGGGTGACACTAGCCAGGTAACTAACTAAACGAACATCCTAGTACCTTACCTAGGATGGTACAAAGAGGTTGGTTATGGTCCTACCTACTTAGGGGTACCTTAGTAATTACCCTACGTCACTTAATTAATTAAATTAGTAACTAAATTAATTAATTAAAAATTCATGCTCAAGCCGAGACACCTTAGAAATTTTTTTTAATTTGGCTAAGTCAAATACTCTACTATTTTTAGTAAATTAAGGAGGTGGCATTTTGGTAATTATCTAATTCATTAGTAAGTTAATTAGTCTAAGTTGAATTAGTAAATATTCAGTTCCTATGACTTAGACTCGCTTTTAATGAGGTAAGAAACCTCACGACTCAAAAACAGTAACAAACGTAAGAAAAATAGTGAACAAGTCTACTTAGGCGATTTAAGGCAGTTCATAAAGATTTTTCGTGCAAAGTACGGGATGATCTCCGTATATTCAATTCCATAGTAAGGTATGGGTTATCCATCTTGTATTCCTTTTCCCAAGAGTGTAACGACCTGTTTAGTCGATTCGAGCAGTAGAGTTTAGTTTTGAAAATAACTTACTGTGTCGACAGACGGCACGACGGACCGTCACGGTCACGACGGACCGTCACGGTCACGACGGACCGTCACGGTCACGACGGACCGTTGAGGGTCTCGTTCCAAAACACTTAAACTCTGAAAAATTTGGGTACTGAGATCGACTCTCTGAACATCACGACGGAATGGCAGGACGGACCGTCGTTGGCACGACGGACCGTCACAAATCTTTCCACAGAATTAACTCTTTGAACTTTGTGACGGACCTGCAGGATGGATTGTCACAGTCATGACGGACCGTCACAGGCTCCGTAAGACCACTCGGGTCGGAATTCTGCTAAAGTTTTTAAACGGGTGTTTTGGACTATTTATGCTTATAATTATAAAGTTAGTGGGTTAATGTTAATAATTCAATTACTTGGGGGTTAAAGGAGACAACTTAAATCTAAATAATGGGCTACTTTCATCATAATGAGTTATATGATAATTAGGGTAAAAGAGAAAGAAATTGGAGAGGAAAAAATATAAAAAGAACAGAGGGACGAACAAGCGAGAGCTAGAGAGAACGCAGAGGAAAGCAAAGGTTTTGGGGGATAGCTTGCTTGATCACGATCCATCGGTGGAGATAGGTTATGGTTTATGCTATTCCGTAGTAAACTCTAAATAGCGATTGATATGTATTCGGTAATTTTGTAAAATCTTCTATATGCTTGATTGCGTGTTGCATGATGTGATTATGTAATTGTGATGGATTAGAATGTGGAGGTTATTGAATCTTTAATCCTAAAATCTCTTTAGTAAGATGACGGATGGGCATGAAGAAGGATTGATGAACTAATAGAATGAGATTAGTGGATCAGAGTGTCACGTTCCGACACATAGCATTAGTGGATCGGAGTGTCACGTTCCGACACATAGTATTAGGGAACGGAGTGTCACGTTCCGACACAGAAGGTAAGGGATCGGAGTGTCACATTCCGACACAAGGATAGTAGGGGATCAGAGTGTCACGTTCCGACACCAGGATAGTAGGGGATCGGAGTGTCACGTTCCGACACCAGGATAGTAGGGGATCGGAGTGTCACGTTCCGACACCAGGATAGTAGGGGATCGGAGTGTCACGTTACGACACATAGTAGTAGGGGATCGGAGTGTCACGTTCCAACATAAGAAGGAAAAAGAGAATGAATCTTGAATTATGCTAATATACTCAGATTTGAAGAACCTAATTCCTAAGTGAGTACGGAGTGGAGGCTTGAGTTCTCATTGGTGTGTTTGGTGTTGTTGCAAATGATTCTTATACTTGTTGTTATTACTTGTTAAGTATTTGGTTGGTTTTATGTTATTATTCGATGTATATTGCTTTCTATTTTGAGTTGTCCGATGATACCTACTCACTACGTGTCCCTTGTACTGACCCCTACTTGTATTCTTTTTCATTGTTATATATGGAATGCAGCAAACGTGCCATCAACTTCGACTCGTCCGCAACTCTAGCCAGTCTTCATCACACCAGATTTAAGGGTGAGCTATAGTTTCTAGCTTGGACTGGATCTTCTTCTTCACGTCTTGATGCCTTGAAGTTCTGGCATGGACTAGCTGTTTATTTATTTTATCTTCTTAGATACTCTTAGATTTAGTAATTTGAGGTAGATGTTCTTGTGGTGATGACTTCCAGATTTTTTGAATAATAAGTATTAAATTTTAGAAGTTATTTATTGGTTATATTAATGAGTTTTAAGTCTTCCGCATTATTTTTTTGTTCATTATGATTGAAATATTGGTAAATAATTGGGATTGGATTGGTTGGTTCGCTCACATAGAAGGATAAGTGTGGGTGTCACTCGCGGCTCGTTTTGGGTCGTGACAAACATGGTATCAGAGCATTAGGTTTGTTCGTCTCATCACACAAGAACGAGTCTAGTAGTGTCTTAAGGAACGGTAGGGGGACGCTTTTACTTTTCTTTGAGAGGCTATAGGACTTTAGGAAAATTCCCTTCTTTCTTTCTTTCGTGTTACTTGGATCCAATTGGTATTTAGGTGATACAAATTTGTATCTGATCATCTTCACTCTATTTCGCAGATGGTTAGAACTAGAGCAACAATTGTGCCAACACCAACACTGGCAAGACAGGGTGCGTCTGAGCCAGCCACTGGGGCTGTAGCTCGAGGAAGAGCAGTGGCAAGACGCCATGGTGGAGGTCGCAGGAGGACGTCTTCTAGAGGTAGAGGACAAACACCTGGTCCAGCTAGTACTAGGGCGGTGACTCCTCCACTGACTGATGAGGTAGTAAGAGAGGGTGAGGAAGGGGAAAATGAGCAAGTGCAGAATGAGGAATTACCACCCCAACCTACCCTAGAGATGATTAACCAGGTTCTTGCTTATCTTAGCGGGTTATATGATCAAGGCCAGCAACCTCCAGTGTTTTCTGCACCAGCACCTCAGGTTCCGGGAGTACAACATGCAGTTGTTGTGGCTCCTCGCATGGATGCCTCATTGGAAATAGGCACGTTTCCTCGATTGATTACAGGACCTATAATGACGAGTGATCAACATGAGCTTTTCACTAAATTTCTGAAGTTGAAACCTCCAGTCTTCAAGGGTGCTGAATCTAAGGATGCCTATGATTTTCTGGTTGATTGTCATGAGTTGCTACATAAGATGGGCATAGTAGAACGATTTGGTATTGAGTTTGTGACCTATATGTTTCAAGGGAACGCCAAAATGTGGTGGTTGTCATATGTTGAGTGTCAACCAGCACAGGCACCACCTATGACTTGGGCATCATTCTCTAGATTATTTATGGAGAAGTATATACCCCAGACTTTGAGGGATAGGAGGAGAGATGAATTCCTGAGCCTAGAGCAAGGCAGGATGTCAGTTATTGCTTATGTGGCTAAGTTTCATTCGCTATCCAGGTATGCAACCCAGCTTTGCTTCAGTCCACAAGAGCAGATTTTCCGTTTCGTGAAAGGGTTGAGGTCAGATTTGCAGATTTCAGCCTTACAGGTAGCTGCTGCAGCAAAATCCTTTCAGGAGATGGTAGATTTTGTGATAGAAGTGGAGGGGGTGAAACCAGACGACTTCACCATGGCATCGACATCTAAGAAGTTTCGTAAGGGAGGTGAGTTTAATGGTTCTTACTCCAGAGGGCAGGGTTCAGGAGGTTACCCAGCCCGACCTATTAAGTCTTCACTGCAGGCTGTAGCTGGGGATCCATCGTAGACCAGCCAACATTCCTCTGAGTTTGGAGGTTACCCCCAGACTTCGTCATTCTCACAGAGGCCTATGCTTGAATCAGAGAGTGTTATGGATGTGGGGAGACTGTACATATTAGGAGGTATTGTCCAAAGCAGAGTTACAGACCCCCAAAA